CGAAGGTGATTCGGTAGACCAAAGGTTTGAGCGCCTCTAGTTTGTCATCCTAGTTCCCATTAAGTTACTGGAAGTTGTGCTCAGACTGCTTAAACAAGCTTGGCTTACAGTCTGACTCTGCAGCTTATGTTATTGACGATAGTCATCATTAAGCCCTTCTTAACATTAGTGAAATTATTTCAATTTTAAGTTTTCTGAAGTTTTTAAAACTTGCTGGTTGTCTGCAATGGACAGAAACAAGTAAGATTGAAGATTGATAAGATTGAATTTTTCTTTTAAATTCCCTTAAGATGTTAAGAGCTTTTGAAAACTTATGCATGACAAGAACTAAGAATGTGTTTTGAGCATTGGGTGGTTAATATCCATAACTGTGTAATCCTAATTCTTACCTGAAAAGCCAGACTTGCCGCATACCGAACAAGCATCTGTTTTCACTGCGAGGTGGAGACATGGGCTGTTTCTGCATTCGTTTCTCTCACGATGGGAAAACACTGGCAGCAGCATGTGCAGGAAGGAATGGCTATCCCATTGTTTGTAAGTTTAAAATATGCTTTGGATTGTTTTTCTTATAATTCATGTATTTGAAATCAAAGGGCAAAAGATATATTTTTAAACTGTGGGTTTTTTAGAGGTTGGTTTGTAAATTGTTCTGGGCATTAAAGGGCATTGAGGAAAACGCTCTTTCTGTGTGAACAGGGCTGGAACTGGCTTTTCATACATGGTAACGTATATGCAAGTTAATGGTATGGAATCACAGTATTTCTGTGCAGAGTTCTAACAAAAAAAAACAGTTCTCATGAGGAACATATTTTCCGATAATAAGGTTTTAAGCGAAATAACTTTTCCAACCCCCACCCCACATGCTTTTCTGTGTATGTTTTCCTCCTAACCTGTCATGAAAGTTAGATACCTGGAATACTGTCATCTCCAGACAGACTACTGGAGGCAGCTGTCTTCCACAGTCCAGTTCAGTTGGAACTACAAATATTACTCAAACTTAGGGCTGCTTCTTCACAGTAGCCTCAAGTGCATAGCTCTTAAGCCTTGCATAAGAATTTAGAGATTAAGAAGGAACAGTGTTTTAAGCATACACAAAGTAAATGTTTAAATGTTTAACAGCCAGTCTAGATTCCTTTATTACACAGTCCCACGAAATGATCTCTGTGTTAATCTACTTCGAAGATTGGTTGGGTAGCTTTCAAAATTAAAAAAAAAGAAAAAAAAAAAAAAGGAAAAAAAAAGAAAAGTTATAATCCTAATCTGGCTCTGATAATTTAGAGCAAGTAGACCGTTTCTTAACCTTAAGACCTTTGTGGCATCCATGAACCACTAGATGGAAGTATACGCTTGTTGTCCATGCATATCTAGCAACTGTTTGTGTTCTCTGAAAATGAGAACATAAAGAAAATGAGTTGACTTATGCTAGCAGAAACTCAGTTTAAGACTAGATTAAACTTTGCATTAATAATTGCATGTAATTGATTGTAAATACTTACAAAATTTTTATTTTTCCATTTAAACCGCATTAGTGTATGAAATTCCTTCTGGACAGTTCCTGAGAGAGTTTTATGGTCACCTTAACATAGTGTATGATCTTTGTTGGTCAAAAGATGATCGATACCTTCTTACTGCGTCCTCTGATGGCACTGTCAGGTCAGTATGATGAAGGTGTTCTGGCAGGTAGCATCAGAAGCACAAAAAAAAAAGTGGTCCAATTTCATGTCTTACTACAAACTCTGCTATGATGTTGTAATTAAAGATTTGATTGCCATGTGACTTACTCTATAATATTATATAAATTATGATTAAGTTAATCACTTATGATGTATTTATTATTTTGGTTTCTGATGTTTATATATTTGAGACCAAAGCTTTTCCAGAAACTGCATTATCTAAATCTACAGTGCAGCAAGAAACCAAAAGGCTTTATGTTTCAAGAAGTGACCGAAATAGTTGGAACATTCTATCCCTGGAGAAATTGCAGTATTATGAATGCAGTATTAAGTTTGCAAATTTGAACATGAGTCAGGAAACTGAAAATTTAACATTCAAGTTATGTGTATAAATTGGCCACACTGCACATATATATGTATTTTTTTTTTTGTTTTGGACATTTATTTAAATAATTCAACTTAAATTGATGTAAATGAAATTCGATAGTAATACTTTGAGACTGAATGTGTACACGTTTTCCTTTACAATTTGAAAGTGTACTTCAACACAGTGTTAATGTTAAAATACTAATCTGTTCAAGGTTTAAAAGCAAAACCTTCAAAACTGTAGAAAAATATGAAAATACGGCTGTGACACTGCACAATTTTATACAAGCAACTTCACAGGTTTTTATAAGGCTTTTTTTATTAGCTCTTCAGATCACTATCTGTTGTTTCTGTTATGCAACTCAATAATGCTACAGGCAGTTGCATAATTAAAATGCCAGAAGAATTGTTAGATGATATATTGCATATGTGGAACTGTTTTGCTTTTTTTTTTGCTGCTTGTATGTACACATAAAAAGAGTATGTTGAGAACTTAGTCCATGTTTTTATTTTTTATTTGGAAGCGTATTAAATAAGATTTTTTTTTTATATTGAAGTAAATAAAAATTTCAGTCATTTATGTTACCTATAAGAAGGCCTAGCTGTTCCTCCATTCCCGGATTTGTGGCAGCAAGTTGAAACTGTAGTGGTCTGCTTCCTTTTCTGTGCACTACGCATGAGTTGTCAGTTCCTGTATTTATTGTCTGTTGCCTTATCTCCTTAAAAAGTCTTATTTTAGGCAAGGCATTTCTTCGTATTGGGAGCGTTATGCTGTTGAAACATGGTAGAATTGAAGGGTGAGAACCAGAAGCCACTCCATGGCTTTAAAGTCATTATTGGTTTATTACCTGGATTGTGTCTCAGGCTGAGTTCTAAGGGAAATTTGGGAACTTAAGTGAATCCTCCTTTATACGGTGTTTTATATGTTACCCTTGAGCCTTCCCAAGCTTTAGTCCTACATTATTTGTAAGCAATAAATTAACTTTTATGTCATTAGAGCAAAACCATTGTAAAAGATAGGTAGACTCCTTGTGACCTTTGCACATTAAGTTGCAAGTTAATCGCCATACTCTAAGGGATCGCACTTTTGTAATGAACTCTCTTCAGAGTAAGCTTAGAATTCTGCAATAGCCACCAGAAGTAGTCACCCCACCTGGAAGGGTGGCACTCAAACAATTAAGTTTGATATTGTAACTGAGCACTCTCTGCAAGGTGCTGCCTACCCATGTTTTATGATCCAGGTATCATTCCATTCTTTATGGACTCATCTTGGGGAAGGCTTAGTAATAAAATATATCACATGAAAAAAAAATACTTCCTAAGAAAAATCTGATCTTACTGCTATGGGTGGGGAAGGATAGGAAATAGATGAGTAGTAAGAAATGAATTTAGGTGAAGAAAACATCCTTGAGATGACAATCAGTGTGTGGTAGGTAATTGTTCTTTTAAAACTTTCTGGGGTTTTATTTATATTTAGCGGTCCTAAATATTCCTTTGTGGGTGGTTTGTTTTGTGTGGGGTTCTTTTTGTGTTGTTTTTTAAAATGAGTGATACCTCAGGAAGTCTTAATAATTTGTTTATAACTCCTGAAAGAAAGAAGCTGATCCATTCCATGGAATTCTTTGTGTGTTTTAAAATGTGCAGTATACCCATTAAATGAGTAAGTAGTTATGAATTTACTTTGAAGACAGAGTACTATCTAAAGTAGTAAATGTATCTTAATTTTTGTTAGAAAGTGCTATATTAAAGGATTAAATATAGGTGGAATGAATTGGTAGGATAAACGGGTGGTGTCAGGTGTTGCAAGCATTTGCCTTTAGAACCAGTAGCACAAATATGGCATCAGTTGTACCTGTGCATGTGTTTGCTTCATACAGTAGACATCCTAACACCCTTTCCTTTCAGAATGTGGAAAATAGAAATGCAGGCAGCATCTGCAGTGAGAGTTTTCCCTCATCCTTCATTTGTTTACACTGCAAAGTACCACCCGATTGCTGACTGGTTGGTGGTGACAGGATGTTACGATTCAATGATTAGAATCTGGAATGCAAACGTGAAAGAAATCCATGGGCAACTGCTGCAGGAGCTTGATGGTCATCAAAGTTTCATCAACACACTTTGTTTTGATGCAGAAGGTATGTACTTAGTACTACTTTCTCAGTCTTCTTTTCAGTTGAACACCAACTGGAGCGTTACTAGTTTGCTTTATTTCATAGAGGCAATGTAAAATGCTAGAATAGAATAGAATAGTTTTAGCTGTGTTTGCAATTAATGCATTAGTATGATGCCTTATTTGGATGAACACAGAGGAACATACAGTCCCTGATATAAATTGAGAGTAATCAGAAAAGGTAAGTAGAAAGGACAGGCAAATAAATGAGTAGTGCTCAGGCAGTGATGACTGGGCAAATTTTGGTCAGAGTTTAGTTTTCATTGTCCCTGTAACTATCTGTCATTAGTTAGCTAATGTTTTGTACATATTGCAGCAAAAATCAGCACAACATAAAGCACAGATCCTACTGTTGGGACAGACAAATGCATCAAGAAGCGTCTGGAAAGCCTAGTGGTTAGTGTAGAGAGGTAAGTTGGAAAAAAAGCAGGTTTGGCTGAAGAAGTAGGTGAAAGAATTATGTACTAACTTAAAAGCAGAAGCAGGAAATCTGAAACCAGCCTCTAGAGCACTCTCTGAACAGAAGTTCAGAACATGAGATGGCAGGATCAGAACATTAGCAAAGGCAGCTCCACCATATTGTCATTCAAAGTTATCAACTCAATACAAAGATAAAGAAAATGAGGTGCAGTAGTTAGATTGTGAGAATTTTAATGCTAGACTGAAGAAGTGGGAAGATGACGAACTTTTCAGCATTGCCAGAGAACATAAAAAATCAGAGAAGAAAACAGAGATTTGACCATTGTGGATAATGTTAACTGGTAGATTGAGAGCTAAAAGTGAGTGATAGAGATGCACTGATGTGTACCAGTGGAGAGTGGGAAGAGTTGAAGATGGGTGAATGAATAAAGTACTTAAAAGCGTTTGACTTTTTCTGGTATTAGTGACATCATTAGTATTTAAGTGTTTAATTTTTGGAGAAATTCACTGGAGTAGGTACTATGAAGAGGAAACAGTTGCATTTTTATAAAGTATTTGTGCTTCATTTAAAACAACTGTTGAAAACCAATATTTGTTCTTGTTCAAGATGCTCTCAGTGAATGTATAGGTAAGCATTAGACTGTCATGCGAAGCTCATTGAGCTATAAATGCTTGGTTTTTGCTGGTTCTACAGTATGAGTAAAAATGAAAAAACTTTAAAGAATATTCAGCCCCCCAGTAACTGACTTGTGTGCTGAATACAAATTTATGGTATCAAATTATGCAGTATGAGTAAAATATATCTGCAATGAGTATATCATAGCGAAAGAGAGGAAAGAATCAGTGTTCACCTATTCACAAAAACAAAGAAATTTCTTGTTCATATATTGTTTCCTGGATTTGCTCTTTTGTCTAGTATTCCACTTCTATTATTGTTTCACAGGACTCCACATGTTCTCAGGAGATAGTTCAGGACTGATAATAGTTTGGGATACATGTGTCAAGGGAAATTCTCAACACCTGTTTCAACACTGGAGGATTAATAAGGTATACAGGTTTCTTAAACTAGCATTGTCATTTTTATGTGAACTGTTCCAAATCTGGCAATTTGATTTCAATTCAAATTTTTTTATACATTAACTTTTGTTTGACTGAAAATATATATTTTCTTTAAATAACAGTACAAAAGAGCTGATAGAACATGCTATGATTCACTGACTTCAAATTTTTGAATTGTTTTGCGCCTTCAGTTTTCTGTGTATAAAACATTAAAATGCTGGAGGTTTAAAAGCCATGTATTAACAGATAAATGCTAATGCATTAGGCTTGTTCTCTAAAGACAACAATAAAATAGACCACAGGCTTTACAAATAATTTTTGTTCATACCTTAGAGGCTTGGTGTTCAGTCAGCATTTCTGTCATCAGCCATGGTTCAGAAGTTCAGCGTCATGGCATAATCTGCCTTGTGATTGTGAAAAGTTGATTGCCTAGGATGTAATGCCTTAATATAGGAACAATTTTTTTTTTTTAACCAAATAGAGTGAAGTGGGCAAAGAAAGAGTAATGCAAGAGAAAAATGAATGATAATGTGTAAAAACATGAGTTTTAAAACACAAAGTTATATTTTTTGACTTAATTTTCATCCTTTCTGTAGGAAATAAAAGAAAATGATATTAAAGGAACACCTATAAATCATTTGGAGGTGCATCCAAATGGAAGACGTTTGTTAATCCATGCCAAAGACAGTACCCTGAGAATCATGGATCTCAGAATGTAAGTAGATTTTTGATGACAAACACATATTTCCTCTTTGTTTTAAAGTATACTAGGGGAAATCGAGAAAGTCAAAGGTCCCTGGTGTTCTACATGGAATTACCTGGGGAAAATACCTTTATACTCTCATAGCATGAGAAACTACCTTCTTTTAGAACATACTTTTGTACATATGTATTATTTCTCAGGAAATCTCACTCTTAAATAATATATTGGGTTGGATATTTGAACTAGCTGAAGACTTTCCAGTCTTACAGTGCACTCTTCATCTTTTACTGTAAATGATAAATTATAATGACTAGAATACTAAACTATCCACTCAATTGAAGCATGAAATTGGTGGATTGACCAAGCAAACCCGTAGTTTTTGAAGCAAATAGTGTTCTTCTATCACTACCATTCCTAAAAAGTGTAGAGAGTTTTAGTTTGAGAGAAAAATAAACATGCATAATAATCTCTACGCAAGGGTTAGTATGGTGTGCAATTTCACAATTATTTTAAGCCAGTTTGTCTGTAGGACACACCATCTCCTCTTATCTCCCACACCTTTGGCCATGTATTCCTAGCATTTCCTTTTTATCAGCTCTAGAGATCTTTTGATGCGGGGGAAGTCAGACCAGTGAACTGATCCGACTAAAAATCAACCTACAAATACAAATGATTAATTTCAATTTTAATCAACTATCTGATCTAACTCATCTGATGGCTGCCCAAACACTAGAGAAGAAATGAGGGAGAGCCTGGGAAAATAAGGGTGGAGAGGACAGCAGCAGGACTGCTGCTTTGACCACAGCCCATAGTTACATTGGCTTAAGCCTATCAATAAACCACAGGGTCAGATACCCAGCAGTGATAATTTTACACGTCAGCATTAACCATTCATGCCCTGCATGAGAAAAGAGGGGGTGGAGGTCACAGATCAACACAATTCACTTTGATTGACAGCGAGTCGTTCTTAACTTTCCTCTTTCAACTTGTTTTTTTGATCTTTTTGGATAATGCTGCTATCCTGTCACTCAGGTATGTGATCAGGGATTTGGTTTTGTTTCAGACGTCTCCTTAGGGTTTTATATGCAGGTTAGTTTTACATCTTGCAGAGCTCTTCTACATGACATCTCAGAGATGCTATCTTTCCTATTCACACAGCTAAAACTCTTATTTGGGCTAATATGGTCTTGCACTGTGATCATTAAAGTATCCTTTTCTCTTGCTTGCCAAAAAAGAATTGTATCCAAGGTACATTTATTCAGAATATTAAAAATAATTTTCCTGTCATATTAACTGCACTGGTCTTCTCCCAGCGTACCTCCATTGTTTCTGCAGTAACAGATTTTAAAAATTACTGTCTTCTGTCTGAGGGCTCTCATGGCCTATGGCCATTCTTCTTGCCTCAGATTCTGCTTTGTAGTATTACTGCTGCATTAGTCTCCCTTTTGAACTTTCGTATCTCTTTCCAAGCTGTACCTCGTGAGATAGCCTTTTACAAGCTGGCTCACGCTTCTTTAAATCTTTTTGTAGATTCTCTCTTACTTGATGCCTACAAACTGACATGAGTTCATTAGTAGGTCATTATTACTATGCATTGATTTCTGAAATTTGTTGATTCTACTGCTGATTTTCTAACTAAGGAGACATTAGTCTGAAGAGCCAAAGAGAGCTGCTGGATAAATTTATGTACTATAGTTGTAATCAAACTCAGAAAGCATAATGAAAACTTTTTTGGCAGAGCTTGGAGTAATAGCGCCAATTTCCCCGTTTTTTGCAAAGCCTAGGATCAAGAAAATGCAAATTACTACATCTCTATCCATTCTCTACATCTGAGTATTCCCATTTCCTAATGAAAGACAAGGATGTACACTTTCATCTATAATTTCAGGTGCATTATGAAAGCCAGAGAAATGAGAAGGTAAACACTGCACTCTGCAAACAGTGGATGCTTGCATGTCTATTTGGGATGCAAGGTGTACTGACTTTTCTGAGGAATAAAGAGGGGGACTGACACACAAAAAATTAAATTATCTATCCTGAAAGTATCTGCTATATTTGCAAACTATTCTTCATCTTTAGCTTGGCTACAAAGAAATACATAGGTGCCACAAATTACAGAGAAAAGATTCACAGCACCCTAACGCCATGTGGTACGTTCCTCTTTTCTGGAAGTGAAGATGGAAAGGCTTATGTTTGGAATCCAGAAACAGGTAACTAATTATTTTATGGTCTAAAGCCAGGTTGTCAAGACTGAGGGAGAAAGAATTTTGTAAGCTTTACTGAAACATTTTTGGTACTGAACAAAACTTCAGTAAGATGTTCTTAAATCCTGAAGCCTTAGCTCCACCTTTTAAATAGCTATTATTAATCTCTAAGATTTAATTCTCTAGAGGAAATTAATAGGCAGAGGTGGCATTTGTCAGGAATGGAGCACCTTAAGCTCAGCTTTTAGGGTACTGAAGTTCTTCACATGTGGCTGAGGGTCTTCAAACGAACACACAAGAATGTTTTAAGTCAAATCAGTCTTTCTGTTGCATTTTTTGGATTTGGGAATTAGACTTTTGTTGAGAACCACTTCATCTGTTTCTCAAGGGCGGTCAGAGACTTGGCCTTTGGAATATAAGGTTTCTTTGTGAATTATTCCCCAAACCGAGTAGTTTCAAAATAGGTACCAAAATCTTTCTGGAAAATGTTAAGCAAATGTAAGATAAAGAATTTGTCATCTTCATTGTACAGTGAGGTAATAGGGACAAAAATAACGGTAGAAGGTAGCCAAATACAATTATTGGTTGTGATGACAGTATATTCTGTCTCTAATTATGATCTAAATAATTTTTTAAAAGGAAAAAGTAAATATATTAAAACTGGCAGCTAACCAACAGTTCTATTGTGTTTTTTTTTTCATGTTTCCAATTATATTAGCTAACATCTAGGCCACTACATAATTTGTCTGAAAACTTTAAAAAAGAATAAAAGTATAAGGAGGGAGAAACTTTGTTAGTAGTATGTTTTCACCAGGCTTTGACTCTTGCTTATACACTGTACTTGTGTTCATAATGCCATCAGCTCAAGAACTAATTTTATTTATTTTTTTAATGATTTTGTGCGCAACTTTCACTCCTTGTCAGTATTATATAATTGAAATCCACAACTAAGATAGCTATCTCTGCAAAATGCAAGCACAAACAAATACTGTGGAACGCCACCTTTCCAGAACTTGCTTATCAGAACAAGAGAACTCAACTCACCTGATGCATCCTCTGGGGTTTCCTGCAGCTGTTGCCCCAGCTCCAACTTTTCAGACTTACTGAATAACTTAAAAGCACGCGATATTTTTTGTCTCATGCCAAACAGTATTTTTCAATAAGGAAATTGTCTAAAGAATATTTATTTACAGTGGCAGTCGCTGCAGTGTAGTAATGCAAGCTTTAACCAACTGTTATTTTGCTGTATCAAATATGATTCCATGGTATATGATATTAATAAGCATATTTCACTTCTGCAGGAGATCAGGTGGCCATATATTCTGAACTCTCCTTCACGTCTCCGCTTCGTGATGTTGCCTTTCATCCACATGAACACATGGTGTCATTTTGTGCCTTCGGTCAAAACCAGTCAATTCTGGTATACATTTATGATTATAAAGGTACAGTACGAATTTTCTTCATACACCCCTGTAAATATTTTATTTATTTTTGGAGGTGATTTGCTATCATTTGTACTTGAAGGAAAAAGTAAACAGCTGCTTGATGATAATACATATCTTTATCCTGGGAGATATCAAAACCCAACTGGATAGGACCCTGAGCAACCTGCTCTAGGTGGCCCTGCTTTGAGCAGGGGCTTTGGCCTAGACAATCACCAGAGGTCCCTTGCAACCTCAAGTTTAAATGGGTTATTGTATGTCATACTGTGTGATTCTTACAGCACTTCATCATATAAAGGGAGTGTCATACAAATATTTAAAAGCCCCTTTTCATATCAAGGTGGATTATGGAGCCAGAAAATACTACCGTTCTGAAAACTGAGGAGTAGGGTAATAGAAATCTCAGTATTTTGTGCTGACTATGGTACAAAATAATGTTGAGGAGCTGTATAGAAATGAATTAATATGAGAGTATAGATTGTTTTAATAAACAAGTGTTATGTCTGTGGTGTGATTATGTGAGAGGTATATTTGTTACCCCCATTAAAGAGAACATAGTGATAAATGCTTGCTTTGAATTTTTGATATAAAAAATAGAATTCAGACTGTCCTTTGCAGGTTTTTCTGGTGGTGTGTTTTTGTAGTTAGCTTTAGCAATGTCATTGTTTCAATTAAGAACATAGTTCCAGACTTCACGTTGCATCTAGACAGTATATAATGTTAATAGGAATTATGCAATAAATTTTGCATATCTGTAACAGGTTTTTGTTTTAATTATATTTGCAGTGAACATAGATTTGTAAAGCTAATCCTGTCTTTATACATTTGCTTTTTAAATAACATGTACTAACAAGATTACTCATATCAAATCTCACAGTTTAGGTTACTTGTCTGTTGAACTGGCTGACTTTTACAGGAAAATTAAGTGGAATGACTTTACAATCGATATTCAGTGCTAAACTTCAACCCAGTAAGATATCTGCATTCTAGAGAGCAATGGAAAATTTTTTTGGTGAAGGATTTATTTAAAATTTTTTGACTGTTCAGCAGACAGTGAGTCTTTAAAAAGCTAATAGAGAAGTTTTATATATATGTGTGTGTATATATTTAGAGATCACACAGATATCACACTGGTAGTTACTTGTATCATCTGACTGCTTAACTTAAGTCACTGATGACAAATTTTGCATAGCTTGTGGTCTTCTCTACATTGTTACTAAGTTTTTGTTCCTTTTTTGGTTAAAAGCACACACTTTGCTTTCAGAAGATAGTCTTACTGCCTTAGTGCTGAAAGAGTTAATCATACAGTAATACTAATTTTAGTCACTGACACAGTTTTCAAAACTCCAACAGTATGTGTTTTACATACGCCAACAGTTTTCTGAGTATCCCTGACAAAGCTTTCATGAAGAATTCTTTTAACCTTTGTTGGCTTGAGACCACAGTACAAAAAAATTGCAAAACTCAAACAGTGTGTTTAAATGACACTGAGCACAACTTTCATCAAAAGTATCCTGGTTTAGAGCAGGCTGCCTCCTAAGAGTGCCTCTTCTGCTTGTATGTATGTCTAGCAACTTCTGAAGTTTTACTGAAGTGTAATAAGCTCACTAGGCTGGAAAAAAATGTGAAATGTACCCAGTAAAATAGCTGACTTGAACTCAGTGCTGGCTGTGTAACTTTCTGGCCTTCGAAAAATTCCTTCTCCCGCCCCCCAACATTTCTGCATGGAGAGCACAATTGTTTATAACCAGTGCAAAAACATCAGTTCAATGTGAGAGGGTACTGAACACAGGTAACAGAAGGGAGACATTGTGACCAGGGAGAGTTAGAGGAAAATGGGGTAGTACGGGGAATATTTCATGTCATTTTAAGGTTTTCCCTATAGCAGTATTAGCACAGATTATGATGATGTTTGACTGAAGACATGGCTAGCAAAATGGCAGTGATCATTCAATTTTATTTTTTTTTCCCATGGCAATGTAAAGTTTCACCTTACATGTTAATATTGGTATTTCTACAGTTGCACAACAGGAAGCTGAACTTATAAAAGATCTCAGTTCATCACTTACCACAGCTGCACCGAGAGGGCCACAGCTCTTCAGCAGTTTTTCTGAAATTCCTACACAAAAAAGTTCAGTGATGTCTCCAGCAGATCAGTTCGTCAGTGTTGCAAGGACATCAATGAGAATGCAGAAGGTGAAACAAAAACTTGATTCTGTTATGGTAAGTCAAATTTAATTAATTTCCAGAAGTATATAGTCTTCTCAGCCAAAGTTCATATTCTGGGACTGGTATATGTAACAAAACATATGTATGTAGTCTTGGGGTCTGTTCTTCAGAAATGAATACATCTCTCACTGATATTAATGCACCTGTAAGTAGCTCTTTAGAAAAGATTAAGTGCATCAAACTATGTTTTTTGTCAATGCCCATGACCATTCATATGATACGCTCTGTAGATCATTATGGCCAAACTTTACAAAATTCTCTCCTTTTTTTCTTTCTTTTTTTTTTTTTTTTTTTATATTCACCTTTAGAATTGTATGTGGCATAAATGGCAGGGGTTTCATAGCAGGGCTGCAGCAGGGGGCTGCAGGGCTTACCTTTGTGGGAGGAGATCATGGACTGCCCTGTGCTGGGCACAGCTGTTTCCAACCAGCTCCGCAAAGGACAATATGGACCTACTGCACCACTGAAATTGGAACCAAAGAGAAGGGCGTGTGGCACCTCTGCAAAAACATATCGAAGGAAGGTTGGTAGATACTAGGGACAGGAGGCACCAGAGTGGAGGAGGAAATGCAAAGGAAAACATATCAGGAGGAACAAGTGGAGGTATTGGAGGAGGGATGTGAGGAGGCACAAAAGTAGACACAGAAGGAGACACAAAGGTGATGCAGGGGGGACACAAAATGACGCACAACTGGAGATACAGGGAGAGATAATGGAGTATGCATGAAGGGAAAGACAGGAGATGTGTGAGGACACACAAAAGAAAACACAGGAGAATGTACACCTCTGAAGGGACTGCAACCCATGGAGGAATCCACACTGGGCAGATACAATCTCCGAGGGGGTTTCAGCTGGTGGAGAGCCCACACTAAAGCAGTTGAAAAGAGTAAGAAACAAGGAGAGATGAAAGAGCAAGCCACCATGTACTGACCCCACTCTCCTGCACCACCCATCATCTTACCAAAGGGACTGAGTGTAACATAGTGGGAAAAGCAGGAAGGCTGGGAACTAGAAAGGAGGACAAGAGGTGTCTGAAGCTGAGACAGACAAGGAGGAAGGAAAATGTTTTCTTTGGGTGTTTGTTTGACTATTTATCTTGTTTCTCTGGTTCCCTGGCCTGGACATCGCCCTTAGGTCTGTGCTTTGAAACTATCCAAAAGAAAGCTATCTCACAGTCCATTGCTTTCTGGACCCTCTCATAAAATAATAATAAAAATAAAATACCACACTGTAACTGGCATGGATAATTGTGCTTTGAAACTATCCAAAAGAAAGCTATCCCACAGTACATTGCTTTCTGGACCCTCTCATGAAATACCACACTGTAACTGGCATGGATAACGGCAGCATGTTGCTACTGTCTTTGCAATTACTTGTAGCCTCACACAAAGAAGCAAGCCTTGTCTCTGCTTTCTGCTTCTTTTGTTCCTGCTCATCTACAAGTGAGCCCTAGTGCCTTCAAGTTGTTTATTGGTCAGAGAGAGGCCCAATATGGAGAGAATGGAGCATGTAACTTTGTGTCTGGGACAAGTACTACAGCAAGACATTCCAGAAGAAATTATTTTTACTCTTCTGGATTTCTTGCCATCTGAGTAAGAAGACAGGGATAACAAATTTTTGGGAGATTTCATCACTGCAACTCTTTAGTCCCTGATTAGCTAGGAGTTCTGGACTGTAGGAGACCAATCTGGTTTAGCAGAACCACATAGTGGTTCCATGGAACCGTGCAGCTAGATGAAATAGGTAAGCCTACAACTGTGTTTGAGAGAATAACTTTCAGCCACTGGAGTTTTGTAACCCTAGATTCCCATTGCTCAGTGATGAGTTTGGGGTAAGTCCATTATGAGCAGTCATGATCAAGGTTTTGGACAGTGTCCTCCAAACCCTCTACTCATGGATCATATATATATGGGAGATGTCAGAAAGGTCATCTCAGTCTTCTCACCAGCTGAGTTTCCAAACAGTACAGGATGGCAGTTGAAAAAGTCTACATCCAGTCTGATGTCTGTCACAGACCTGTGATGGTTATAAAAATGGAGAGTGCTTCCTTGTACAGCTTTATGAACCACTGGGATATTGGGAGGAGATTTCTTTTCATTGAAAGGACTAGCGATACTCATCTTTTCAGCGATCCAACCTGAGGCTCACAGGACTACGATACCTGCTTTCCAAGTAGGGATGGGATCATTTCTTGCATGTAGGTGCAGTATTGCCAGCCTGCGTTGTCACAGATTCTGGACAGCTCCAGAGTACAATATATCGTCACTAAAACTTAAAATTTCTATTAATTTGTAGTTGGGAGTTAGAGTTTTGGATGTGTATGTGTTTACATGTGTGTAGCTCCCTTTTTCATGCAAAAAAAGATGCATGAAAGTGTAAGCTTTGCTGGAAGGCTGGTTAGAATGCGTACTCACATAAATTTTTTGCTAAAGTGTTTGTCAAAGTAGGCCACATAAATGTTGCCACTCAGCCACATATGTGAGAATGTGCTAACAGCTCTGAGTACAGACGAGTGAAAACAGAGAAAAGAGTCTCTATTAAGCCACACGGCAGGGTGGCAAACTGCCCTGTGATAGGGTTCGAAAACAAAAATCCAAATGAGAATGCAGATGTTATCTTGTATGTGTTTGGATTACCATGTTGGGACAAGCATTTTGGCAGCATACCTAGTAGATAGTAAACCTAGCCTGAGGTCATGCCCGGGGTCATGTTTTAAGAGACCAAGGTGCTGGAACCTCTGAACAGCAGATCTGCCAGCACAGGGCTCTCTGTGTTCGATGTGTGTGAATTTGCAGCAGTAACTGATAGATATAAGGGGTCAGTATTGGGGCTGATGCTGTTTAACAGCGACACAGACAGTGGGATCGAGTGCACCCTCAGCAAGTTTGCTGATGACACCAAGCTGTGTGGTGTTGTGGACACGCCAGAGGGAAGGGATGCCATCCAGAGGGACCTTGACAGGCTGGAGAGGTGGGCTTGTGAGAACCTCATGAAGTTCAACCAGGCCAAGTGCAAGGTCCTGCACGTGGGTCGGGGCAATCCCAAGCATAAGTACAGGCTGGGCGGAGAATGGATTGAGAGCAGCCCTGAGGAGAACTTCTTGGTTGTGTGTTGGTTGTGTGTTGGTTGATGAGAAGCTCAATCCAGCAATGTGCACTTGCAGCCCAGAAAGCCAACTGTATCCTGGGCTGCATCCAAAGAAGAGTGGCCAACAGGTTGAGGAAGGTGATTCTGCCCCTCTACTCTACTCTTGTGAGGCCCCACCTGCAGTACTGCATTCAGCTCTGGAGCCCCCAACACAAGAAGGACATGAACCTGTTGGAGCGGGTGCAGCGGAGGGCCACAAAGATGATCCAAGGGCTGGAACACCTCTGCTATGAAGACAGGCTGAGAGAGTTGCAGTTGTTCAGCCTGGAGAAGAGAAGGCTCCGGGGAGACCTTCCAGTACCTAAAGGGGGCCTACAGGAAAGCTGGAGAGGGATGTTTTGCAAGGGTGTGTAGTGATAGGACAAGGGACAATGGATTTAAACTGAAAGAGGGCAGATTTGAATTAGTTCTAAGAAAGAAATTCTCCAGTCTGTGGCTGGTGAGGCACTGGAACAGGTTGCCCAGCGAAGTTATGGCTGCCCCATCCCTGGAGGTGTTCAAAGCCAGGTTGGATGAGGCTTTAAGCACCCTTATCTAGTGGAAGGTGTCCCTGCCCGTGGCAGGGGGGTTGGAACTAGATGATCTTTAAGGTCCCTTCCAACCCAAACCGTTCTATGATTCTATGATATAAAATTAACTGGTAAGTGCAAAGTTCGGAGGTCTGCGGCTTAGATAAATGATTTGAAATTGTCGTGTGAATACAACAAAATTTGGTTTATGCTACACAGAAATTGAGAATATTCTGATCCTGTAAGAGCTCAGGTTTTTTGTGTTGTGACCAGTGCCTCCTTTTCATGTCCATTTAGAAACAACGTTTTTTTTTTCCTTTTTTTGTTTTTTTATTCTTTGCTACCTAAAGAGGAACCTTAATAAAGGACAGAGGAAATTTTCTTCTCGTTTGCAACATTACCATTCTTGTTAGCCCAGAAAACGTGTAATTAGAACCAAGAGTTGAATTTTGGGCTAAAGCTTTGGCAATTCACAAAAGCAAAGACGTTTTGTTACAAAAGGTGAATATTAATTTCTCTGTGAAACCTGAATGCAATAGGAAGGCAATTTATTTAATACTGTGTGTACCATAGTAAGGAAAACAGGAAAAAAGAAATGAAATAAACCCGCTTAATATTATTTCTTGTTAAAAACAAAACTGTAGCTGAATAGTTTTTAGGAAGCCATAAGTAAGATCCATTCCAAACTGAGTATGAGGAGGATGCTTGCGTGTTTCTACTTAGGAAATCCAGGATGAGCCTAGATATTCAACACTGTAATTAGTTCTTGACACCTCTTCCGAAAAAGAATATAGTAAAATGAGAAGCGGTTCAAACAAGGGTAACACAAATCCCAAGAGCTACTGAAGAGCTCGCATGTGATGAGATTAAAGTGATTAGAGTTCCTCAGCTGGGCGGGTTGTGCAGGTAGAGGTGTGTGAGAGGGAAGTTACGACAAATACATAAAATCATGAACAGTATTGGAAAAAAAATTGTTTCTCACAGCTGAAATGAGGACATGCAATGAAGTAGATTGCTGGGAAGGCCAGAAGTGTACATGGGTTCGCAGAGATTTGGGGCAAATTTGTAAAGGAGAGATTCAGGAAAAGCTCTTGGCCCAAGGAACTGGTGTTACTTCCTACTGAGGCTCAAGAAGTTTATAAACTTTTGAGTGCTGAAAGTAGAAGGGCCCGTAGGAGAAAGATCACTCTAAAATTATATACCTTATCTGCTACAGTTTACTGTTGACAAACGTGAGGATGGATCTTTGATCTAACACAGCATAATTATTCTTATGTTATGGAGTATATTTACAATATTTATAAAAGTCATACTGACAAATTTGTGTCGTTATCATGT